ATGTATGGATTTGTGGGTCCACACCCTGGCGCTTTAAGACAGCTCTCGAGCTCGTCTGAAGCACCGCAGTCCCACTGTGACCTACACCTCCAACCCACCTGCTCATAGGACCACCATTCTCAACAACCCCCTTTGCTCAGAAAGACGACAATGCCTCTGGGTCTGGGACGAAGGAAGAAGGCGTCCCCCCTGGTGGAAAATGAGGAAGCTGAGCCCATCCGCGCCGGTCTCACCGTAGACGGTTTGGATGGAGGTGGTGTTGTAGGCTTAGGAGAAGGTGCTGGCTCGGAGGGTTTACCCCCGCCACCAAGCAGCATGCGGCCGCGTCTCATCTTCCACACTCAGCTGGCGCCCGGCAGCCCCACTGGACGCATCGAGGGCTTCAGCAACGTGCGGGAGCTTTACACAAAGATCGGCGAAGCTTTTGGGATCCCACCTGCTGAGGTGAGTCCCCTTGTACACTTCTATCAAGAAGACCTGAGCATCATAACTTAGATTTATTTTCACTTCGCAGGTCATGTTTTGCACATTGAACACTCACAAGGTGGACATGGACAAACTGTTGGGAGGACAGATTGGCTTAGAGGACTTTATCTTTGCCCACATTAAAGGCCAAAAAAAAGAAATTGAAGTGTTCAAAGGGGAGGATGCACTCGGTTTGACCATCACTGACAATGGAGCCGGTTATGCTTTCATCAAGGTAAGGCACTTTTGAAAAGTCTTCTGCAGTATAGTGACGAATTATAAGATTCTTTTTGTCAAAATGTACACACCCCACTACAGAGAATCCGCGAGGGCAGCATCATCCACCAGATCCAGGTGATCAACGTTGGTGACATGATCGAGTCTATCAACGGCCATCGCCTAATTGGTTGTCGACACTACGAGGTTGCCAAGATGCTCAAGGAACTGCCCAAGGGCAAGAACTTCACCATAAAGCTGGTCGAGCCGCTCAAAGCTTTCGGTAGGGCGTGCGAGGAGCTGACGTGTAATGGGATGTGCATTTTATTTTTCCCATTGTTCTGTATATGTAACTGATTGTTGGTTGACCCCATGCAGATATGATCAGCCAGAGGTCTGGAGGCTCCAGGTCATCGTCGGGGGTCCAGCTGGGCACCGGGAGGGGAACCTTGCGGCTGCGCTCCAAGGGTCCCGCTACTGTCGAGGAAGTGGTGAGTTTGCATACGGAACTGTGGATTCTGAGCAGTTGAACAATTCTCAATGACGTGTCTTGAGTGTGTGATGTTTTTTTTTTTTTTTTTTTTGGAACCACCCTCCCTCAGCCCTCCGCTTTTGAGGAAAAAGCCATTGAGAAGGTCGATGACCTACTGGAAAGCTACATGGGCATCAGAGACAGCGAGCTGGGTACGAACTGTTGTCACTCGGGAACCTTGGTTGTTTAAATTGACTGTGCGGTCGCCCAAAAAGTCATCATCAAACCGGGAAAATTTCATTTTTGGGATTACTCAGTAATGGATTGGTCATGCTAGCAGTGTTAGCTGCCTTAGTGTGCTGTCGTGGAAGCATATTACTCAGTCTGGGTTTGTTTCATTGGGAAGAGATGTGAGGTGGTGTAAGTAGGATTTTAATGAGATGACATTCATATTTTGCTGACAGCGTTAGGACTGCAAAATGTTTTTTTTAATTTTTTTTTTCATGTGTGTGGTTGTCTTATAGCCCTTCAAGCGATGGGCATTGGATATTAGCATTAGCTACAATTGCAATGACGCTGTGCATTAGAGATTGTTTCCGATGCAAAAGTTTTTTGTTAATTCTCATTTAAAACTTATTTAAATTGTATTCATTTTGCAAGCCTAATTCTAAACTTCTACTTCTAGCGGCCACCATGGTGGAGCTGGGAAAGGACAAAAAGAACCCTGATGAGTTTGCCGAGGCTCTCGACGAGACGCTGGGAGACTTTGCCTTCCCGGACGAGTTTGTGTTTGACGTTTGGGGAGCCATTGGCGACGCTAAGGTTGGACGGGTGTGAGTGGCGCGTGACTTGACAGAACCCAACAGACTTGTATGTGTGTGCATGGTCACTACTTGGAAACTCTACACAAAAGGTTTTTTTTTTTTTGCTTTATTTTTTAAAATTCTCTATACTGTATACTCCTGCTGTTTATTTTGTCATTGGAAGAGACTTTCATGGCAAATATTCTCACTCAGTGGTGAAATGCAAGCGATTAAGTGCATTTTTATTTTATTATTTTTTTTTTAGCTCATCCCCTTGTAGTTGCCACCTACGAAGGCGTTTCGGGGCCACCCTGGAAAGTTAAAACAAGTCAACAAAAAAAAAAACTATTAAAATTGTAAAATTTTGAGGGTAGTCAACTTAAAAAAAAAAAATAATAATAATTGTTCACGATGTGCCATATGTGCCAAACTACTGCTTGTAGCGATGTACACTACTGCCATTCCTCGGGCTCCTTTCACAATTTTTTGAGAAAAAAAACACATGAACGCAACAATGAGGGACAGACCGCCCTAGTCCAAGCTTGAAGTCCCATCTGAAGAACACAAAAGCAAAGTAAGGCAACATCAAGCTTTTCAGTGTGGTCCAAGCATTCCTTGGCAGGTATGAAAATGTGTGTGCAAGCATGGAGACGAGAGCGTGCGTGCGGCACAAATGACAAATACAGGGGGGAGAAATCTTTTTCCCTTTCAGGTGGTAATTTCAGTACTTCAAGGGCCCAACATGTCTTCATATTTTTTTGGGTGGGCGTGGGGGGGGAGATGATTCCTCTTGAGTTTTTGTTTTTCAACTTGCGTGGTGGGCTAGCCCCGCCCCTCCCTTTCCGCAATCAAATGCTAACACAAAATTTGGTGTTAGATAGTCGTGCTGACATGCTCCGTGGCCGGAGACAACAGAGGCCCCGTTGTATCTGCGGTGTTGTGTTGTACCGAACCTTGCTACTCACTCTTTTTTCAAGCATGTTGTATTTTTTTTTTTGTTTGTTTTTACATCAACTTTGCTGTTTGTTTGCTGTATTTGACTTCCAAAGGAGAATAAGTGGCGTGTCAAAAAGGTCGTGGTGTTAAGTGTAGCTTGCCTAGCAGTAGTGATTTATTCACACATTCCATGCTGTCATCAAGGTGATTGCAGTTTTACTTTTGATAACAGTGTTACATATACTGTGGACACTATATTGTAAAAAGAGGCAGTGTTAGGTTACTTGTTTCGTTCGGGACAGAGATGCAGTTGAGGTCTTATGCTACGAAAGTGTATTGCATTCATTTGGTGAAAAAAAAAATCTTGATTTATGTTTTGGAGGGACTTTTTTTCTTTTGTAGATAGATTTTTGTTTTCTGTTTTTCCAAGAGAGAAGAAATACTCCCAAAAAACAGAATATT